TGATAGACACTGCATATATACTTACTGTATAACTCCCTTTTGTATGTTATAACAAGCACAATGAGAATTATTATTATTATCAATAATACAATAAAAACACTCAGTGATGTTGCTGTGATAACCATATTAACACATATAATATGTATTATAAATATGTAATACTAACCAGCACTGACATTAAGACGGCTTGCTGCAACAGTAATAGTAGTAGCGATATTACAATAATCTGTTAATGTTGCAATAATTAGGTAAACTGTAAACACTGTATAGTAACATATATACTTACCAAATGCTAGTATGAATGGTTCACTACTGCCAGCCTCATTACTAAATACTGTAACATACACTATGAAACATTTGTTGTTGCATGCAACACAGTTAATACAGGAGTTGATGGAGATTCCAACAATACAATGCATGAAATAGAAGTGTTTCCTATTTCATGCAGCATGTTGCAAGCTTCTTTGACTCCTGTATAAACTGTGTTGCATGCAGCAAAGTGTTGCATATAGTGTATGTTGTGGTTTACTGGTATATTGAATTGTATGATAGTAAAAGTGTTTCGTGTAAAAGTATATTCTATAGAAACAGTATCACCCTTGACTGATCTAGAAACTGTGTAAATATATGAAACCATAATTTTAATATTATTCTATTTTAGTTCTTTGATATGAGAATGTTTTATTTTTAGATATTCCTTCTCCTAATTCATTAACTCCTGTTGTGACATATGTATAATGGTGAATAAATAAATTATTATCCACAAACTGATAACTTGTAGTATTTACTGATATAGTATCCACTAGACTACCAGTAATACCATCATATATTCTTAGTATATAATACAATATAGATACTCTGACATAAACTGTAGAAGCAGTCCATGTTATATCAATAGAAGAATAGTTGTCAATTAAAGAGTCAATATTAGTAACTGGTCCAAGAAAACCTAAAGTATAAAAATGAACATTTGGTGTGAAACATGTTTACCAAATCCAAAAGAAGGTATAGGTAGAAATTCTCCTCCATTATTACTCAGTGATACATTAACAATAAATGCATTTAAATTATTAGGTAAAGCTGTTACTCCAGTAATCATCAGTTGATCATTAACTTGTGGTATTATACTTCTATCCTGTATTTCAATATTATGAGTATTCAGTATAATAACTGTTATACCATTAGGATACTCTCCTTTGCATAGTTCACTGACCTAAATCAATTGAGATTGTGTTTACTTATAACACAATTGACTTACATTAATACTGATACTTAATGATATTTGTTGTCCATCAATTACTGGTACTATTGATACAGTAGGAGTAATGAGAGGAACTGAAAGATACACTGTGAACATATACATGAAGCCATAGTAGGACTAACCTGTTTCATAATATTATTAGATGAACCTATACTCCAGGATCATTAATAGGAAAAACTGACACATTATTTAATATACAAGGATCAGGATTAGTAGCTGATAATGTGATATTATTAGTAGTAGTTGTAATGTTCAGTAATCCATTAACTACTATATAGTATCCAGTGATAGGTACATTATCCAGTGTATAAGGAGCTGTCCATGTTAATAATACACTGGATCCATTAATAAAAGTATAATCCAGATCAATAACACTAGCCAATAGACCTAAAAAAGAAATTATAGGAATAATGTCACACACTAACCTTGCATCATTAATATTGCTGTATCACTGAGCACTGACTGTAGAGGTTCATCAGTAACAACTCGACATCTCACTTCAGTATTATTATTATGTTCATAAGCTATTGCTTGTATTTCTGCTCTTCTAGTACCATTATGAACACTGGATGTTACACTAAATCCTTTAGCTATAACATCTGTATTAGAGCTGGTGTATTATTAACTCAAGCAGTAAGTTCATCACCAGTTCCTTCACAAGAGAATACAACAGTAGAGTTGAGTGCTGTATTAATAAACACTAGCTGTACTGTTATAGCTATAGTGACAATAAAAATGTGAGAATATACCTCTATATATAATACTTAGTTACTTACTAGCACAATCAATGTACTGCAGCAAAAGAAGAAAAATTATTAGATTCAACATTTTAACTTGACTGGGATTGGCGCGGCTGTGGATCATTTTCTTTATTATCACGCAGATTCTGCGTAGATAGTCAGGCTATGGTCAAGGTGGACCTGACTATAGATTATCATGATCATTCTATCCTTATCCTTTTATTTCAGTTAAGTCCCAAGATAAGTCATTGTGCTAATAAGTATCACTAATACTATTCAAGCAGTTATTGTCATCAACAATATAGATATAACAGTACAGCCAGTGTCTATTAATACAACACTCAACTCTACCGTTGCCTTCTCTTGTGAAGGATCTGGTGATGATCTTTCTTTCAGGGTTAATAATACACTAGCTACAAATACAGATGTTATAGCTAAAGGATTTAGTGCAACATCAAGTGTTCATAATGGTACTAAAAGAGCAGAGTTACAAGCAATAGCTTATGAGTACAATAATAATACTGAGGTGATATGCAGAGCTCTTAATGATACACCTCTTCATGTAGAGTTCAGTAATACAGCAATATTAATGATACTAGCCTATACATAATATCTTCATTACCAATACAAACTTTTAATGGTATTTTCATTAATTTAATCAGTATAATTGCCTTTAAAAGCAAAATAGCCTTTGCTATTCTTGTCTGTTTTCATTCTTATTTATGTGCATTCCCTGTAACACAAACAGTGAGTGAATGAGTGACCACAATTAAGAGAGTAACAGCATAGATAATTGATAACAAGCCACAACTTACTATAAAAACTATAATGATAAAAAATATTATTTAAAAATATTATAAAAAGTATTCTTTTTTCATTGAATAACTAATGATTAAAGAATTTCAGCCCACTTCCCTAGATGTATGGTGTTATGGGTTTTTTCTTCTTTAGGTTTATTGGCTAGTGTTGTTGATCTGGATTATACCTTAGGATCCAGTGTATTATTAACATGGACGAGCTCCTTACACACTGGATAATGTACCTATAACTGGATATTATATAGTCAATGGATTAGTGAAAATTACTACTCATTAATAATAATACTATCAGCTACTAATCCTGATCCTTAATTGTACATGTATATCAAATAATGTATCAGTTTCTCCTATTAATGATGTTGGGATAGGTTCATCTAATAATATCAGTTATTATCATAAAACAGGTTATATAGTTCTACTATGACTTCAGGTACATGTTCACAGTGTATCTTTCATATCCTCTTATTACCCCTCCTGTATCAGTGCTACAATTAATTGATGCATGGACAATTGAATATCAGTATTAATGTGAGTACATGTATTATGAAACTTATGTAGGCATAGAAATTGTAAATATGGGAATAAACAAGGCTTTTTATAATAATGTTTTTATATATCATGTAGTTTATGTTATTTAATATGGCAATTATCATACTACATCAACCAATCTGATTGTGGTCAATTACAACTAGGCATAGTAGAACTACAATTTTGTCAGTATTGTTGCCTTGTATAAACTATTGTAATTGTATAGACATGCACCATTAGGTGAGTAAGCTGTGTATTGGTGAATATCCTAACAATGTAACAGTTATTATACTGATTACTGGTAATGAGGTGCAAGATAGTGCCAGTATATCAACACGAGTTAATGATCAACTGATGATTACTGGAGTAATAAGTAATAACTGTACCTAATACAATAACTGTACCTAATAACTTAAATACATTTATTGTTAATGTATTACTGAGTATAAATGGAGGAGAATTTCTACCTACACCTTCTTTTGAATATAGTAAGAATTATTATATTGCATGTTCTTTAGTTCTCTCATTGCTAGGTAAAGTTAGACCAGTTACTAACATTGACTCTTCAATTGACAACTGTTCTACTATTGGTATAACATGGACTGCTCCTACAGTTGATGATAGAGTATCTATACTGTATTACATATTAAGAATATATGATGCTATGATTACTTGTAGTCTAGTGGATACTGTATCAGTATATGGTACCAGTTATCAGTTTGTGAATAATAATTTATTGCATCATCATTATATATATTATATTTGGAGTTAATGAATTAGGAGAAGGAATATGTAATAATAAAACATTCTCGTATCAAAGAGGTACATCATATGCATGTATAATTATGCTTAAATGCTTAATTATATAAATGCTTGAAAAAGACTTCTTATTTTTTATAGTTCCCAGATCAGTAGAGAACACACTACACTAGATACATTATATATACACAAGACACAGCTATTGTTCAATATAATATTCCAGTAAGAAGTACCTTGTCTTGAAGAAGAAGTTGCAACATAGTAATTTATAGGTTATAAATGAGTGTACTGGTGAAGCTCCTGTGAATGTTACAGTTACTGTAAAATGTAATGGAACTGGTGTTGTGTTTAGTAATACTGAGCTAATTGAACAGGAAAGACAACCAAATAATATAACAGGATTAATATCAGTCCATCAGTATCAACAGTGTAGTGTCAGTATTGTATTTTGTAATGAGGCTGGCATGCAGTAGTGAGCCATTCATACAAACATTTAGTAAGTGATTGAATATTTTAGAGCATTATAATTTCATATATCAACAGATACTAGTCTGCTGCTTCCTCCTGACATTAGTTCATCCCTTTCTACAGTTTCCATAGCACCAACCATTGGACCAGGATCAGACCCTCAGACAAGTTAGTTGTTTTAGAGACATGCTGAGAACATGGCTTTGACATTATTTATTTTCTTATAGTGACAATAAGTCCTATTGCTGTTGGCTGCTTTAGTGTTGTAGCAGCTTTGATAGTACTCTTGGTAGCTGTATTGATATACACATATTGTAGATGTAGAGGTTAGTATCAATTATGCCGTAATTATTATGTATGTGTTATTATTAGCTACATGCAAGTACTGGCACTATTCTCAATATCAGGAAGATGCCACTGAGTGATTCAGAACAAATATTTAATGGTAAAAGGCAAAGAAATGGTGCATATAATCTTGTGAACATGGCAAAAGATGATGCAGATCAGTAACACAGGAAAATAGTGTGGTAGAGCAAGGCATTGTGTTTCATTTTTCATTTTTATACTACGACTGCAATCAATAAAAGTAAATCTTGATATCTCTATAAATCATTATGTTGAATGTTTTCATTAAGTTTTTTTTTATTTTCAAGGAATGAAGTAGACTAATTGTAAATTGAACTCACTCTTTTAGTTTTATCTGATAATTTTGTATTAGATCTTTTACATGGTCTTACTAACAATAATGATGAATAATAATTATGGTTGTACTATAGGGAGTTGAGGAGGGGGAACAGGAAGAGGAGATACAAATGTTAATCTAATCACAGCATCTTGTGTAGAGTAATTTGTCTTCTTTGGTACACATATGCATGATAGCAATCATCAGGTGAATAATATGTGGCTACTGTAGATGGGATAAAGACATTATTGCCTTTAGTACAAAGCTCTACCTCCAATAGATTAGAGCACAATCTTGATTTAAAAGTGAAAGTCTGCCTCACAGTTTGAAAAAGGATTTCGGTACAGTACTCAGCTTCGTGGATTTGTTTGTTATAAATGTTATTGCTCCAAAATTTGACAAAACACTGTTGAAAACACCCTATACTTATTAGATAGTACAGGGTATTTCACTTAGAGAGAATTCTCTATTTCCTGCACACTGCACAGTTCTACTATACTACTACCATTGCACATGCAGGTTCATTTCATTGACACAACATTGGCGTAATAAAATACACCAATGAAACATCATTTCAATTTGGTATGATGTTTTTTACAAAAAATAGACTTCAATGATGACATAAAATATGTAATACTAACCAGTACAGTACAGTGACATTAAGACTTACTGCAACAGTAGTAGACCTAGTATATAATATGAATCCATGGGCGTGGCTGTTGAGCATTAAATTAAAAAAATTATTGATTAATCCACTACGCGCCCTTGATTTTCCTCGAATTTTGTCATGATCACGGCTTTGTCCTTTATCCTTTTACTTCAGTTCAGTCAGAGGTTAAGTAATTGTGCTAGTAAGTACTTATTCTCGCATTTTATTGTCATCATTTATAGATATAACAGTTCAGCCAGAGTCTATTAATACAACACTCAACTCTACTGTTGTCTTCTCTTGTGAAGCAGTTGCTGATGGACTCACTGTTAGAGTGAATAATGAATTAGCTTCTGATAGAGCTGTTCAGGACAAAGGATTTAGTGTGTCATCAACTAGCAGTGGTGGGACTGTGAGAGCAAAGCTACAAGCAATAGCTTATGAACATAATAATAATACTGAAGTGAAATGTAGAGCTAGTACTGATCATCCTTTTCAGGTGAAGTTCAGTGATACATCAAGATTAATAATACAAGGTATGAATCAACATTGCTTGTAAGTACACAACTAACCATTTCCCTTTTAGGTCTATTGGCTAGTGTTGTTGATCTGGATTATACCTTTATTAATGGATCCAGTGTATTATTAACATGGACAGCTCCTTATACACTGGATAATGTACCTATCACTGGATACTATATAGTCAATGGATTAGTGAACATAACTACTATTAATAGTAGTACTAATATTACATTAACAGCTACTAATCCTGATCCTTGTATATCAAATAATGTATCGGTTTCTCCTATTAATGATGTTGGGATAGGTTCATCTAATAACATCAGTTTTTGTTATGAAACAGGTTAGTCCTACTATGGCTTCATGTATATGTTCACAGTGTATCTTTCAGTTCCTCTTATCACTCCTAATGTATCAATAGTACCAGTGATTGATGGACAATTAAATATTAGTATTAATGTGAGTACAAGTATCTATAAGCTTATCATCATGTCTATAGTATAGACTTGCATAGCCAGAGGGGCTGGCTATGCGATACTATCTATAGTAGGCAAGAAATCATATTTTAGTGAAACAGATAAGGCTTTTTATAATAATTAGCCTTTTATAATTGTCATGGCGTAGTAGAATTGCATTTGTATATTGTCACATTGTATACTATTGTAATGTATACACATGCACCATTAGGTGAGTAAGCTATGTATTGGGGAATATCCTAACAATGTAACAGTTATTGTACTGAATACTGATAATGAGATGCAAGATAATACTAGTATATCAACACAATTTAATGATCAACTGGTGATTACTGGAGTAATAACTGTACCTAATAATTTAAATACATTTATTGTTAATGTATCACTGAGTAATAATGGAGGAGAATATTTACCTACGCCTTCTTTTGGATATAGTAAAGAACTATTTCATTGTATATTCCTTAGTTTTCTTGTTTTTAGGTAAAGTTGGACCAGTTACTAACATTGACTCTTCGATTGACAACTGTTCTACTATTGTTATAACATGGACTGCTCCTACAGTTGATGATAGATTATCTATACTGTTTTACATACTAAAAATATATGATGCTATAACTGGTAGTCTAGTGGATACTGTGTCAGTATATGATACCAGTTATCAGTTTGTGGATAATAATTTATTTATTCATTGTTGTACATATGTTATAACTGGAGTTAATGAATTAGGAGAAGGAATATCTAATAATAAAACATTCTCATATCAAAGAGGTATAATAGACAATGATTACTGAATAATAAATTCATCCCTTTTAGTACCACAATCAGTTACCGAAGCTGGCTCAAATATAATAACATTTAGTCAAAATACTTCTACTGCTTTCTTTAATATATCAGTAATGCCATGTTATTTAAATTTTATTCTTGTTAATGTGTATTATTATAACAGGTGGTATTGGAGTGTACTGGTGAAGCTCCTGAGAATGCTACAGTTACTGTACAATGTACTAGAGCTGGTGTTATTTTTAACAACATATATCTAGTGGAATATACTACACAGTCAATGAATATAACAGGATCAGTATCAGTACCACTATATGAACAGTGTAATATCAGTATTGTATTTAGTAATGAGGCTGGTAGTAGTAAACCATTTATACAATTATTTAGTG